GGAAGGTTAAGGCGGAAGGATCGCTAGAGCCCAGCAGGTCGAGGCTGCGGCGGCCAGGAGCGTGCCACTGCTCTCCAGTCTGAGTGACAGAGTGAGATTCTGACTCAAAAAAAAAAAGAAAATTCAACCGCATCCAGACCTTTCATCTTAGTAGTAAACACCTCGGGTGGAATCTCACTTGCGTTCCAATCCAAAGAGATTAAATCTCCCTGGACAGCATTATATGTTAATGGTTAATTTATTTATTTTTATATTTTCATAGCTCCTGCAATTTAATTAAGAAATGACTTTCAGCCTGCAAAACTGGCCTCTGCTGCTAATTAGATTCCATGGATCTGTCCTGAAAGGTATAAATCTTTTTTCAAAATAATAATTACTAAATGCACTGCTATGATAAATAAATTATCCAAGCTCTTTGACGTAGAGAAAAGCGAAGGTGGGAGAGGAGGTTATTTGTCTGTGCTGTCTGCTCTATTTTCTTCCAGACCCCAGCCTTGTGCAGGGCAGGTTGAGCCCGGGTTCCCTCTGCACTCTGGTCTCCAGTGGGCCCTCCTACCCACAGCTGGGCTGCCTTCTCAGCCCGCCCCCTCTTCCAAGGGTATTGCGTGAGCCGATGAGATAGTGTATGTGAAAGCCTTTGTCAACTGCAAGGCACAATTGAATGCCAATTATTACTCTTTTTTTTTTTTTATTTGAAGTCTCTGTTGCCCAGACTGGAGTGCAGTGGCCGCTCCCGGCCACCGCAGCCTCAACCTGCTGGGCTCCGGCGATCCTTCCGCCTCAGCCTTCCGAGTAGCCGGAATTACAGGCGTGCGCTACCACGCCCTGCTGATTTTTGATTTATTGTAGAGATGAGGTCTCGCTGCCCAGGTGGGTCTCGAACCCACGGGCTCAGGCAGTCCACTCACCTCAGCCTCCCAAAGGCGCGGGATTACAGGCTGAGCCACCGAGCCCGGCTCAATTATTACTCTTATTATTCTTTTTTCTTTTTTTTGAGTTGGAGTCTCACTCTGTCGCCCAGACTGGAGTGCGGTGGCCCCTCCCGGCCACCGCAGCCTCGACCTGCTGGGCTCCGGCGATCCTTCCGCCTCAGCCTTCCGAGTAGCCGGAATTACAGGCGCACGCTACCACGCCCGGCTGATTTTTTGATTTATTGTAGACATGAAGTCTCGCCAAGTTGCCCAGGCGGGTCTCGAACCCGCGGGCTCAGGCAATCCACTCACCTCAGCCACCCAAAGCGCGGGATTACAGGCTGCGCCACCTACTCGTATTATTCTTATCATACTCCAGGGAAACCCTGTTACCCCCACCCCTCCCAAACCTTCTAGGCGGGACAACCTGGGGGAAATTCTGAGAGGCTAGACTGCCCCTCCCATATGGGCAGGGGTTCTTGGCACAAATCAGTCTCCCTGGCCTGGGGGGAGGGCCTCATTGCTACCCTCCTGTCCCCCTCACCGCCCCCGCCGCCCCCCTAGTAATGACTTTCCCAGTTCTTCCTGGCTTCAGGGGCCTTCCTCCGGAAGGAAATCTCCTCAGATCCAGTGAAAGTTCTCGAGCTGCTGAAACCATCGACTCCTTGGGCCTCTCCTTCACCCCCCACCATTTCCTAGTGCCCGCGGTGGAGCCAGGCTGCCCCGGAAGGATCTGACCGGCAGTTTCCTAGAATTGTCCTGCTGGAGCTCCTCGGTCGTCTACGCCCGCCCCTTCCCCACCTCATGTCAGTCTCCCCTGCCCAAAGCCCAAGTTTCTCTAGCTGTCCCGGTCTTCACCCTGCTCTTCCGAGGCCCTGCAGTTCTCTTTGTCACAGCCAATCTCTTCCGGGCTGTCTGCTTCCCTTGGGAGGGGAGGAGGAGCTGGGGCCCGGGAGTCTCTGGGGCCACCGGAACCCACCAGGAAGTTTAGCAGGCGTGGTTACCAGGGCAACCACCTCTGAATGAGGTCTTCCTGGTGCTGTGCATCCCCAGCTTGGCCGGGGAGAGGGACTTGACCACGTAGGCTCCTTCTCCCAATAAATCAAGTCTGGCCCGGGCCAAAAGGGGTGGGGGGCGGGGGTAGGAAACGCGAAACAAGACGAGTCACTGGACAGGGGAACAAGTAATCGTTTCTTCACCGTCAAACCACCACTTGTATACCAGGGAGCACTACCAAGTAGCCAGACCTCCAAGCTCCCAGGGCCCACCCTACCTCCAGGTCGCAGGGTGGCGTCCAGGCAGAGGCTCTCGGAGATTGAGGAGGGGCCTGTCTGCATTTGATGGATGGTCCTGAAGAAATGTCTGGCCCTTTCCTTCCCCATGGGGGAGGTGAAGCTGCAACCACTTCTCCCCCGCATTCCTGCCTGCCTGCCTAGGAAGGGGTGGGGTGGCTGGAACAGGGGAAGGAGGGCCCTTAGCCCAGCAGAGAGGCATTTTGTAAACTATCACTTACATTTGTCTACACTGACATGGGGAATGGAGGAGCAGGTGGGCAATACCCAACTCTCAACTGAGTTTAAAAAAGGATTGGCCAGGCATGGTGACTCATTCCTGTAATCTCAGCACTTTGGGAGGCTGAGGCAGGAGGACTGCTTGAGCCCAGGAGTTCGAGACCAGCCTGGGCAACATAGCGAGACCTCATTTCTACAAAAATTAGCTGGGTGCGGTGGTATGTGCCTGTAGTCCCAGCTACTTGAGAGGTTGAGGTGGAACGATTGCCTGAGCCCAGGAGGTTGAGGCTATAGTAAGCCATGGTTGTGCCACTGCACTCCAGTCTGGGTGACAGAGTGGGATCCAAATTAAAAAAAAATCCAAGCCAGGCTCGGTGGCTCAGCCTGTAATCCTGCGTCTTGGGAGGCTGAGGTGAGTGGATTGCCTGAGCCCGTGGGTTCAAGACATGCCTGGGCAACTTGGCGAGACCTCATCTCTACAATAAATAAAAAAAGTTGGCCGGGCGTGGTAGCACGCACCTGTCGTTCCAGCTACTTGGAAGGCTGAGGTGGAAGGATCACCGGAGTCCAGCAGGGCGAGCGGCCACTGCACTCCAGTCCGGGCGATGGAGTGAGACTCCAACTAACAACAACAACAAAAAAATCTGTGTTTCCCACCCCACCCCCTACCTCTCCCTGGCCCCAAACTTCTGAACCAGTCCATGTTAATTATATTATTGCTACTGTATGCCTGCCATGGGATAATATAGCAGTTCTCAACATGTGGTCTGCAAAGCCTGGAAATCCCCAAGATTATTTCAGGGGATAGATGAGGTCAAATTATTTTGATACTAATACCCTTTTTTGTCTTTTTGGCTGTACTGACATTTGCATCAGAAGTACAGGGGGCAAAACTGCTGGACCTTATGTAAATCAAGGTAGTGGCACCAAGTTAATCATTGTATTCTTCACTACTGTACGTTGAGAAGCCGTTTCTCTTAAGAATGTTCTTGGAGCCAGATGCAGTGGCTGTCATCCCAACACATTGAGAGGCTGAACTAGAAGGATTATTTGAAACCCAGAGTTCGAGACCAGCCTGGGCAGCAAAGCAAGACCCCATCTGTCTCTACAAAACATTAGCTGGATTAGCTGGGCCTAGTGGTGCACACCTGTAGTCCCAGCTACTTGGCAGGCTGAGACGGGAGGATAACTTGAGTCCAGGAGGTCGAGGCTGCAGTGAGCTATGATCGTGCCACTGCACTCGAAGCTGGGTGATGGAATGAGACCCTGTCTCAAAAGAAAAAAAAAGTTTACCAAAAAATTAGCTAGGTGCAGTGGTACATGCCTATAGTACCATCTATTCAGGAGGCTGAGTAATGAGGAGGACCATTTGAGCCCACGAATTGAAGACTGCAGTGAGTTACGACTGCTCTACTGTACTCCGGCCTGGGCAACATTGTGAGACCTTGTCGCTAAAAATAAAAAAATTTCAACCGGGCTTAGTGGCTCAGCCTGTAATCCCAGTACTTTGAGAGGCCGAGGTGAGTGGATTGCCTGAGCCCACAGGTTCAAGACCCATCTGGGCAATTTGACGAGCCCTCGTCTCTACAATAAATAAAAAATTAGCTAGGTGTGGTAGTGCGTGCCTGTAGTTCCAGTTACTTGGAAGGCTGAGGCGGAAGGATCACCAAAGCCCAGTAGGTCGAGGCTGCGGTGGCCAGGAATGTGCCAGTGCACTCCAGTCTGGGTGACAGAGTGAGACTCCAACTCAAAAAAAAAAAATGTTCTTGATAAAGCAGTAAAAATTTATTAACATGTAATGGGTTTGTTATCTTAAATGAATAAAGATGTGTTTTCGTTTTAAATTTTTTATCTTCTTTTAATAGAGATGAGATTTTTTGATGTTGTCTAGGCTGGTTTTGAACTCCTGGGCGCAAGCAAACTTCCACTCTGGCTTCCCAAAATGCTAGGATTACAGGTGTGAGCCACCATACTTGGCCTGTTTTAATTTCTAATATGGTGAATACCAATTGATATAATTCACATAAACAAAAGCTCTTTGGGACCCTCAATAATTTCTTTTTTTTTGAGTTGGAGTCTCACTCTGTCATCCAGGCTGGAGTGCAGTGGCATGCTCAGGGCCACCCCAGCGTTGACCTGCTGGGCTCTGGTGATCCTTCTGCCTCAGCCTTCCAAGTAGCTGAACTACAGGGACACACTACGGTGCCTGACTAATTTTTGATTTGTTGTAGAGATGAGGTCTTGCCAAGTTGCCCAGGCTGGTCTTTAATGCACAGGTTCAGGCAATTCACTTGCCTTGGCCTCCCAAAGTGCTGGATTATAGGCTGAGCCACCGAGCCCGGCTCCTCAGTAATTCTTAAGGGTGTAAATGTGTCCTTGGATCAAAACTCTCAGCACTGCTGGGTAATTAATATTCTGTCATATGGTCTCCTCAAAATCAAAGGTGAACTGCAGCCTTCTTCAGTTTTGTAGTCCCAATTTGAGAAGTGAGTTTTATTTGAAGTACAGGGTGGAGAACTGACTGTTTTCTGACAACCCTCTCCCTCAAGAAGAAATGCTCTCACTGGAATAAAGATTTTAATGGTCTCTGCTCACAGAAACAAGGCATACAGGTCTGCAGCCCCTCCGTGCAACCCCTGCCCCCCCATGTGTCCGCTGTTGGGTGGAGGAGTGAGGGTGGGGGCATATGTGGACCTTGAGGGCTGGGTCCAGATGTGGACTCTCCTACCCCTCGATTCACCTTTTTATATTTCATATTCCCCCTCAGGTGGCTCTTTGCCTTCCCAGGAAGTCACAGTGTAGCAAGGTTGAGAGAGAGGAGGGCGCAGGGGGTGGAGGAGATCAGAAATCCACAGCCCAGTCTGGCAAGTCAGGGTGGAGAGGGGTGCACCGGCCCACGTGTGTGCCGTTGGCAGGACTGTGTGCCCCAGTCCAGTCCTGTGAGCTGAGTTCTCCCCTACCCCTGTCACACCCGTCCTGTCTCAGACACCCGTCCTGGTGTCTCCGCTGGAGTCAGCACACCTGAGCTGTTCAAAGCACTTCTCCAGTCTTTTGGGGGCTTCTGAGGCCTGCACCTCTGGCACAGGGTAGGGAGGCGTGGAGGGATGGGAGGGAGGCAAGTCAGCCTCGGATGCTGCTCCCCTGTTCCCCTAGGAGCCAGTAGGTCCGAACCTTGCCTTTGCCCTGGAGGGAAAGAGGAGGAGGCTGGGTTGGAGAGTGGCATGCCCACTTTCCATAACTGGAAGAGAGGCCTGGGGAGGAAGGTGGCACTGGCTGCCTGAGAGGGGCCACCCCACTGGGACCCCAGGTGAGGGTAGGGCTTTCCTCTCTACCTTCATTTCTACATCCCCACGAAGCTCCAGCTTGAAACCACCAAACTCCTCCAGGACGGCCTTGGTCTCAGAAGACAAGTGGATCTTCAGGGCTGGGACGACAGGGAAGAGGGGATGGAAGAGATGAGAGTAGGAGTATGAAAGTAGACAAGGTCAGGGCCAGTGGGGCAGACAGATCTCTCTCTCTCCTTCCTTTCAGAAGCCTTTTTTTTTTGAGTTGGAATCTCACTCTGTCACCCACTCACGGCCACCACAGCCTCAATCTGCTGCTGGGCACAGGCAATCTTTCCATCTCAGCCTTCCAAGTAGCTGGAACTACAGGCATGTGCCACCACGCTCAGCTAATTTTTTGATTGTAGAGATGAGGTCTCGCCAAGTTGCCCAGGCTGGTCTCAAACCCGTGGGCTCAGGCAATCCTCTCACCTTAGCCTGTCAAAGTGCTGGGATTATAGGTGTGAGTCACTGCACCCAGCCCAGGAAGCCTTTTAGTTCAGAGAGGCCCCACTGGCTCCTAGTGTGTGATTACGTCGGCTTCTCTTTTAGAACTCTAGAGCTGTGGAGTCCAATTATGGTAGCCACTAGTCTTATGTGTCTGTTTAAATTTAAATTAATTAGCCATATGTGGTGGTTCATGCCTGTAATCCCAACACTTGGGAAGACCAAAGTGGAAAAACTGCTTGAGCTCAGAAGTTTGAGCTCAGCAACACAGTGAGACCCCATTTCTACAAAAATGTTAAAAATTAGCTGGGTGTGGTGGTACAGGCCTGTAGTCCCAGCTACCTGGGAAGCTGAGGCTGAAGGGTTGCCTATGCCCAGCAATTCAAGGCTGTGGTGGCTGTGAGCCTGCCACTGCACTCCAGCCTAGGTGACTCCAGCCTAGGTGACAGAGTGAGACTCCTACTAAAAAACAAACCCTTAAACAAAACAAACAAAAAACCTAGCACAAAGCCGCACCCAGTTGGTACCTAATAAATGCTTGCTCCCTGCCTTCCTTTCATCTTGCTTCTGGTTTATCTTCTGTGCTGGGATTATAGGTGTGAGCCACTGTGCCTGGCTGTGCTAGGTTTTTTGACAGCCCTGAGATAGGTATCATTTTACAGATAATCAGCTGAGACTCAGAGAAGTTGAATGACAACTACGTGTCAGGCATTTTAGACATTTTTTTTTCACATAAAAAACCTCTTGAAGCAAATATTTTATTCACATTTTATAGATGAGGGAAACCAAGGCTCAGAGAGGTATGACAAACTCAGCTGTGAAGCTGAGATTCACACCTAGGTGAGCTGGTTCTGAAGCATCTCACGAGGGCCTGAAAGGTAGCATTCCTGCTGGGAACTGTCAAACATTAGCCAGAAAATAGTTCTACCACGTTTGGCAAGTGGGGTCAACAGGAACTTGGAAGGAGAGAGAGCTAGGGGAGGAACCAGGCACCGGCTGCTCCGGGGGGGCATTCCCTTGGCCACCCTGTTCTCTCCATCCCTCTAAGAGAGGCACTGTACCGTACCTTCCCCGTTAGACTCCATTCTCGAGGCTGTGTTGACTGTGTCCCCAAAGAGACAGTAACGCGGCATCTTCAGTCCTACCACTCCAGCGCACACAGGTCCTGGGACGAGAGAGGGAGGGGGTGGAGCCCATGAGGGAGGGGGAAAGGCATTGAGGGAAGGGTGGACCCTCCGGAGAGGCAGGAGTTGGGATCTGAGGACCCAGCTGTGTGCGCGCACGTGTGTGTGTGTGTGTGTGTGTGTGTGTGTGTGTGTGTGTGTGTGTGTGTGTGTTATGGCAGGGAGGGTGTGAGGCTGCCCCCTAGGACCTTTGGCGGCCTCACCTGTATGGATGCCAATGCGCAAGCGCAGCTGCTCCTGGGGCCGGTGGTGGATGCGGAAGGAACGCACGGCATCCAGCAGTGCCAGAGCCATGCGGGCCACCTCGCAGGCATGGAGCCGCCCATTTCGCACTGGGAGCCCTGACACCACCATGTAGGCATCGCCAATGGTCTCCACCTGTGGGGACAGGGAGAGGGTGTAGGACATGAGGGCTAGAACTTTCTCTTCCCTGTGTCACCTGCCACACCACCACACCGTGTGCATTGTCTTTCATTCTGACCCCCACTAACCTGTCTTTGTTCATCCCCCATCCCTCATGGGTTCTCTGCCTCTCTCTCTCTCTTTCTCCTCTCTCTCTCTCTCTCTCTGTGTGTATATATATATATTTAAATTGATAATGTTTTAAATTTGAGATGGGGGTCTCACTCTGTTGCCCAGGTTGGAGTGCAGTAACCCAATCATGGTTCACTGCAGCCACAAACTCCTGGGCTCAAGTAATCCTCCTGCCTCAGCCTCCTGAGTAGCTGAAAAGACAGGCACATGCCACCACTCTCGATTAACTTTACTTGTTGTAGAGATGGGAGTCTGGCTATGTTGCCCAGGCTGATCTCAAACTCCTGGCCTCAAGTGATTCTCCCGCCTCCACCTCCCAAAATGTTGGGATTACAGGCATGAGACACCATTCCTAGTGGGTCTTCTCCCTTAAGATTCCCTCCTCATTCTGCCTCCCCCTCACCTTTTTCTGACTCTTCCCAGCCCTCCTCCCACCCTCACCTTGTACACATCAAAGTTGTCGATGACGGCATCAAAGCAAGTGTACAGGTCATTGAGCAGGGTCACCACCTGGAAGGGAAGACATGCTAAGAGGGACTGGGTGTGAGGGACCCCACCTGGGGCTGAGTGGGAAATGCGGAGCCGGAAGGCAGGTCTGGTGGGATGGATGCTAAGCCAAGCCGGCCGGCCTGCCACACAGGGGCTGAGCCCTGGCTTACCTGCATGGGTGTGCTTTCTGCTGACAAGGCTGTGAAGCCCACAATATCACTGAAGTAGATGGTAACGCTGTCAAAGGCCTCAGCCTGGACGGTCTCTCCACGCTTCAGCTGCTCAGCCACTGAGCTGAGGGGTCAGGGCAGGTGCAGAATCAGAGGGCGGGCACTGGGAAAGGGGCTGTGTTGGCGGGGGTGTCCCCAGATGCAGGCACTCACTGAGGCAGAATCTGGTAGAGCAGGGCCTCGGCTTTGCGCTTTTCCTCCAGGTATGCCTGGGTTCGCTCCTCCACCAGCTCCTCCAGGTTGTTGGCATACTGCTCCATGCGGGACAGCAGGTTGTCCAAGATGTTGCTGCTGTTCTCTCTGGGGGCAGTGGGAAACCACGAGTGTGGTGAGCGAGGAACGGCTGGGCCCCACCCCTGGGCGCTCACCCTGCCTGGGCTGCAGGGGAGGCCCTGGCGAGGGGCAGGCTGAGGGCACAGCAGGATGAGGGGAGCAGGGGGAAAGGGCAGAAGGAAATCACGATTCCCCTCTGAGACCCCAGGGTCAGGTAGAAAGCTTCAGACATATTGCTATTTTGTTCACCATTGTCGAAGACTGAGTTAGGAGGAGAAGGAGGAGGTGAAGGACAAGGGTCAGTGGTGGACAAAATGCTGGCATGCAGGCCGCAGGGAATGTGTCTGGAGGAACAGGGCTCAGTAAGTATGCTGGGAAAGGGAGTCAAGGGCTGGGGCAGGAGCGCCCAGGGAGGGCCAAGAGTCAACAGAAGCCGGGCTCGGTGGCTCAGCCTCTAATCCCATGCCTTTGGGAGGCTGAGGTGAGTGGATTGCCTGAGCCTGTGGAATCGAACCTGCCTGGGCAACTTGGCGAGACCTCAACTCTACAATAAATCAAAAAATTAGCCGGGCGTGGTAACGCGCGTCTGTAATTCTGGCTACTCAGAAGGCTGAGGTGGAAGGATCGCTGGAGCCCAGCAGGTCAAGGCTGCGGTGACTGGGAGCGGCCACTGCACTCCAGTCTGGGTGACAGAGTGAGACTCCAACTCAAAAACAAAAAAGAGTCAATAGGGCAGGAGGAGGGAGGCCCGGGATGTGTGGCTTCAGAGGGGTCTAGGGATCAGTGCAGGGAGTGTGCAGGAAAGGTGTGGGGTATCAATGGTGGAGGAAAGAGGTCTGAACCGTAGGGGACTGTGGGGACAGCTGAGGTCACATAGTATTTGCAAAGTGAGCCCTGAGGCTGTGGTGGGCTGGAGGAGGCTGTGTCTGGGCATTCAGACTCCCTCTGCCACTTGCGGGGAGAAGCTGAGGTATTGGGTATGTGGAGGCCACAGTGGGGGAGGCCGAAGACCCACAACTGACATCAGCGACCTGTTAAACTTGCGCAGCGTCATGCGGATCTGTTGGAATGGCGGCCTCTCCTGTGGGTCCTCCGCCCAGCACCGCTGCATCAGCTGCCCCAGCTCCTCCAGGTGACTCTGCAGGGCCAGGGAGGGCCGGAAGGGGGGCTGCTCACCCCGCGTCACACGCTCGATGATCTCTGTTGGGGGAGGAGAGGAGCCGAGAGGTGGTGCTGGCCAAGGGGCTAGTGAGAGACGGAGGGCGACCACCTGGGGTGGGCTGGGGAAGTCCAGGACCAAGGCATGGAGCAGGGGAGCCGGGCAGGTGATGACGGGTCACTGGCAGCAATGGGTCAAACGGGGCTGAGCCCCATTCCAGAGGGAAGGTGTGGTAGTGCTACCAGGGATCCTTCTCCTTGGGGCCGAGGTTAGTTAAAACCATGTCAGGGCTAGGGAAAGGCATGCTCCTCTTACCTTTGGGGCTGAGGTCCAAACCTTCCACGTGGAAGACCCCACTCCTCAGGGCAATCTCCTGCAGGATGATCCCAAAGCTGTACACGTCACCAGCCTGAGAACCCCGGGCAGGGGGTGAAGCCATTCGCAGGAGCTCAGGGGCTGTCCACAACTTTTCTATGGGTCAGAGGTCACAGAGTGAGGGAGCCCAAAGTGAAGGGGAGAGGGTAAAACAAGGATGTGGCCGAGGCTGACCTGGATACACCCCAGAGTGCTGGTGCTAGAAGAGGCCTTAGGGAGCACTTCATCTAACCTCCCTCTTTCCACCAATGAGTGACTTGAAGCTGGAGTCAGGAAACGCACGACCGAGCCCATCAGTGGCTGGGCATCAGTCTCCCTACTGGGTTCTGCCAGGGGCGGGTGTTAGGGGTTGAGAGTTGAGGCTCACTGGCATAAAGGATGTGTCCTTGCTCTGGCTCCAGGTCCCTGAAGCTCTCTAGCCCATAGTCGGTGATCTTGAGCACAAAGCGTCCATCTACCACGCAGTTGGACGACTTGAGGTTCCCATGGGAGCAAATGGCCCCATTGTGTAGAAACAGCATACCCTGGGAAATGTGGGGGTGCAGAGGTCTTGGCCATGAGAGGGACCGCCAACCGTGGTCTGGTCTGTCCTCCATGCCTCCAATGAGCTCTCCAGGGCTTACCTTAACGATGTCATTGATGAGGGAGTACCGGAACATCCAATCCAGGGTGATGCTCTCATTCTCCAGAATGTCCTAATGGGGCAGCAAGAGTCAGACCAAGCCGGGATCGATGGCTCAGCCTGTAATCCCACGCCTTTGGGAGGCTGAGGTGAGTGGATTGCCTGAGCCCGCGGGTTCGAGACCCGCCTGGGCAACTTGGCGAGACCTCATCTCTACAATAAATCAAAATGAGCCGGGTGTGGTAGTGCACG